CCTTCTTGATGATCTTTCTGGCTTGCTTCTTCCACTTCTTACTCTTCTTCTTTTCAAGTTTTTCAACCTTGACAATGGTCTTGGCGAAATCCTTACCAAGTTTCTTACCAGCAAGAATTTGATCAGCAACACAAGCATGGAAAGCATTTGGATTCTTCTTCTTCTTCAAACCAGCCTTTCTACAAGCTTTACGAGCTCTCTTGAGTTGTTTCTTGGTTGGTTTCTTTGGTTTGACTCTTCTCTCAACTCTTCGATGGACATGATTGTGCAATACACCTCGAGCCGTTCGGGAAAGATATTCTCGAGAGATACACAAACCAGATGAGAATTTCAAACTTCTTGGAGCATCCAAAATCAATGAAATGTGTCCAAAAGAACCATATCTACTTCTGAATGCTGGATTTCTATGCCAAGTAGCAGTCAAGTGAGCTCCATTCTTTGCAGAAACAATGAGCGAGTTGGCTGATACTCTCTTTGCAGTGGCAGAGCCAGAGAGTTGAACAGTTTGACCAACACTCACTTTGGTTTGCTTACCATTCAAATAGAATGAATTGGTTTTGGTATCATATTCAAAGGTGTCCTTTTGATTGATTTTAACAGCAAAGGCAGTATTGACCGATACTCTATGAATGTTGTGTGAATTTAAAGAGGAGTAAGAGCACGTAGCAATGAATAATCATTCATTGAGAAGGAATGATCATGAACAGTGAATTTCACGAAATTCATATATTGGAGGGTAATGTTGAGTGTTAGGATTGAATGATCATCACACACTTACTTTTTCCATTTACCAGTTCTTGCATGAGCAATGAATGATTTGTCAGCGGTTTCTGCCAAAACATAGTCACCTACACCATAGAAATCATATCTTCGTCCAGTGAAGGAAACATAGTGTGGGTCACCAACGGATTGACATCTCTGTAAAACAGAGTTGACAGCTTTCACAGATCTTGCAGCTCTAAATTTACGGGCTTCTGTTGGTAATACAGCAAGGATGACACAAGTGGCCACCAACAACAAGCCAACGAGTAATTTTGATGTGCTCATCATCGTGTTGTTGTCTTGAACGATGATGACTTGTGTTGAATTTTTTGTTGTGAATGAACTCTGAGACTTTGCGGTTAGTGCTAAAAAGGATTTCAGTGACAAGTGAATAGCAACAAAAAAGGGTGACACGATGTGGAGTTGTTGATAGCGGCATCATGATAGATTCGTGCACGAGTTAAAGTTAACAGCGTTCTTAGCTAAGGGGTTAGTACTGAGTGTCAGCAAGTAGTTGAAGAGTGCAAGAATTACAGCCAATGAGTACAGTATTGCTCCAGTTGTTTATTGTTGTTGTTCTTTTTGTTTCAAAATTTCGTTTTCCACTCTCAATTTTCGGATAAGTGCCTTCTTCTTTTCCACTTGTGATTTCAAATGACCCTCGACTTGAGCCTTTTGACTCTTAATGCCTACACGTGGGTTTCTATCCTTCTCTGGTGGAATCCATTCAATGCTTCCAGATGTACTAATATTCTTTGACAAGTTATCAAGGTAGAATTTGGTGTTATCGATTTGTTGAGACTTGGTCAAGTGAGTTTCAGTACGATTTCTGAGATTAAATTGGTTGGAGATGTAAGGAATTTCAATTTGGTTCAACAAGTTTCCTTGTTCAAGAGAAGCTCCAGTGAAAGAAAGAAGACCAAGGTGGCGAGCCTTTTTAACTTCGTCTTGAATCTTCTTGTGAGTTCTTCTTCTAACACCAGTAAATCGCTTTGGAATAATACGTCCAGTTTGCGAAACAAACTTGAGAAGGAGATTTGGGTTCTTGTATGAAATCTTTTCAACGTAATGTTGGTTGTTGGCGAATGGATCTGGAGGACGAGATTTGAATTGAGGTAATTGATGTAATTGATATTCCATCATTTTACGGTGTTGAATATCATCACCAGCAAGTTTACCTTCTCTCCAATCTTGAGCAATCTCAGAAAATTGATCCATAGCGCTCATGAATTCCATATGACTTGTTGGTGCTTTGTTGTAGAGCCATCCAGCTGAATTGGCGTTGACTGGAGTTTTTAAGTGATGATTGAACACATCGCTATCAGCTCGTTCTATATAACGATAGTAATCATACCATGTATTTCCTTGTGGAGAGTCCTTGGAATTTGCTTGGAATGGTGCTTCGGGAGAAATGTTTTTTGCTTTGGAAGGCTTGTCGGCTTGTGATGTTGCGGCTTGATAGACATCTGAACCATCGTAATTGGCCCTACCACCTCTAATTCTTGCAATGTTGTCCTCTATGAGTTTATGAATATCCTTCAGAGATAGCTTCCTGTTGGCAAGTTTTTTCTTGCTTGCTTCGTCCAATTCAATTTGTCTAACTCCTTCATTTGAGTAAGAGCTGGTACTAAAATTTTGTTGTTGTTGATGATGACTAGAGAGTAGAATGGCTACTGTTGAAGAAGAATGTTGCGGAAGAAGAAGATGTGTCTTGTTCAGAGAACAGGCAGAGCGATGAAAAACAAGCCGCTTCATTTTTTTTTAACACCACAAACTACGCCATAAGAAAACTGCCAGCGAAAAAATTCGACTCAAAAAGGCAAAAATTTTTTGACAACGAAATGCAGAAACTCCGGGATTGGTTCAGAATCTTGTAAAGTTTTATTCAGTGCTGACGTTCGTTCATTAAAAGTGTCCTCCTGATTAAGACCACACCTATTGTACAAAGCCAGTTACTAAAGTTTCGAAAGCAATTCTCTTCAGCGCTCATCTCTCGTTCTCTTCCCACAGTTGAACTGTCCTATACAAGGATTAGTTGATTGTTGGTGATAATACTCACATTCACAGTAATTACTCCGTTCAACAAGTTTCTCGTTACACGATAAAAATCCATCTTTTGTTGTACTGATTACTTGGTGTCTAAGTTACATCAAAGTTGCTGTGTCATCTTAGTTTAGGTGTGTGATTTAAAATACTCGACCTCATCTTTAGGTGAAGGCATTTTTTTTCGAGTGAAAATCGATGTCAACTTGAAAAATTAAATTACAACAAAAAGTAAAAAATTTAATTTAATTTTTAACAAAAAATTTATTACACATCACAACTTTGGGAAAACATGTTCATGGCATCGCTTTCATCGTCGTTGTCATTTGCATTGTCCTTGCCATATTGAACGTTTGAAATTGGATCATATTTGGAGGTTATTTCATGTTCTTCGTGATCTTCGCATCGGGTACACACTTCGGAGAGAGATTTCCCTGGTACAAAAGACAACAAGGCAACATTTTCCTCTTGGAATGAGAAGATCGGGTAGGGTATTGCAAGAAATTGCTTGTACTTCTCATTGTTTCGTTGCCTGTTTTGAAAGGGAATTTTCAAATCTCTACATACCATGAGTCTCCTAATTTTCGGAAGCATGAACTGGATCAAACTTTGATCTTTACATGTAGGAAACATTCTGTCCAAATAATTATACTTTCCTCCATTGTTGGATGTGTTTTTCATACGCCTTTCATCATCAATGTGTGCTCCTTCGAATCCCTGTGTTTCAAAGTGAACCAAATTTCCGTATACTTTGATTAAAGGAATTACATGATGGAATAGAATATGCATATACCAACTTTGAGAACCACTATCAGTATAAAGAGATTGAACCACTTCTTCCATCTCATTTAGCTTGAGTTGAAGGTTATTAAGTTCGGATTCAGAAAAGGATTCATTTTGAAGTAATTTCAACACATTTCTAAATTTGCTCATTAATGTGATATATTGAGGAACGATTACCTTACGTAATCTTCTCAAATTGCTTAAAATGGAATTAACTTGTTTTCCGGTTAAGTAACACTTCAACTTTTGTCCTTTCTCAGTTATTTTGAAATTATTGAGATTTGGAATCTTGCGAATGATCCTGATAATAGTTTCTCGTTTGTTGCTCGTCATTATTGCATCAATTAATATTCTTTCCATTATTCGTTCTTTCATATGGAGCAAACAGATGACAATTTTGAATGGACTAACTCCGAGCAGACAACCCAACTGTTCTTTGCTTCTAGCGAGGTGAAAATGGTCACAAAAAGTATTCAATGTATTGCAATATGGACACATTTGTGAAAATTTAAGATTAGAGATACGCTTTAACGAAAGAAGATCTGTTGTGACACAAAAATCCACCTTGTGATTTACTCCATCAACATCCACCCCATGACATGTCATCGATTCAATCATTACTCGAATAATTCCAGTTATTGCTCGAAGTTGATTTTCTTTTCCCTTCCAAACAGCCACAGGATGGACTGCTTCTCTTGATTGAGGACTCCCAAAATTTTTCATATTTAATGGAGCGCATGCGAACGTAACACGGCCTTTAGATCCATCGAGATTAAGTTTGAACCACTTAATTTTTGTTTTCCAATTTTTATCCTCTTCGTTGAGATGAGCAGCTAATTCCTTGTCTGTTGATATTTGTTTTACCCATTGTACATATAATTCAATCATATATTTAACTAAAGAATAAAGGCTGATGAAAAAAATATTTTCATTCTTCTCATGTGTCCCTTTAAATTCAATTAAGGCCTTAATACTAACTACAGATTGAACTGATGACATATTTGAGAGAGGAGTGGTTTTGGAGCTTGAAGATGACACCAGTTCCTTATATTGAGTGTTACTGATTTTGGCTTTGTCTTTCGCTTGGATATCAAGTAACTTTTTCCGTACTACTCGCAACTTTCGTTTTGTCACTTTTTTTCTTTGATTTGTCTCTTCACTCGATGAAGAAGCATCATTTTGCGAATAATCATCGTCCTCCCAATCCATTTCATCATCGTCATTTGAGCTTGTTTGTAGAGCTACACTACTGCTTACAGGTTCTTCTTGTGAGATTGTTGATGTTGTTTCATTAATTGCTTCACTTGATTGATGTTCTTCATATTCATCAAAATTTTCATCGATTTCAGAACTAATTTCAGATGAAACAGGATCATCGAGATCATTTGGGTAATCATTAATGGCAATAGGGTTTGTTTTTTCTTGTTTGTTTAGATACATTTCGATATATGAGTCATATTCTGGTATTTTTTTGTTTGTGACTAATTTTCGAACTTTCGTATCAATGTCGTCATAATCCTTTCGTTTGCTTAATGTTCGATAAACAATATCGGGGAACATGTCAATCAATAGATCGAAAAATTCAGAGAAATTTGAAATTCCATTATTATACAGCAAAAGTTCGATTCCGCAAAGTAATGATCCGAGCTTGCTTTTTGTATATTGAGATTTGTCTTGTTCAATCATACTTTTGGTTGTTTTTTCACTGCCTTTTTTGCATGTCAACAACAACTTCCCATTAGATTTCGTCTCTTTTTCGAATTGATGAAATTCTTTCTGCATCTTGTCAATAGATGGATTTGCAATATTAAAATGTAATGAGTTACATATCGCAAAACTCTTGTTCTTTAATTTAATAACAGCATCTCCTTGGAGCTTATACTGAGAGAAATTGAGATCAGCATTATCAATAATATTTTTCAATTTGTTTTCTGTGCTCGGTGGTCTTCCTCGCTTTTGTTTTATGCGAGTGAAGCCATCGACAAAAGTAATTGTTGTATTTCGTTGTGTGTTTGAATGTTGGTTTGATTGATTGGTTTCATGTTGTGAAGGTTGAGATGATAATGTGTTCGGATTGTCAAGGTTATGTTGGGTTGTGGAGAAATTATGAGAAGATTGTGTGATGTATTGCTGGTTGAATTGTGGATAATAGGATTGATGATTTTGAAATAAATGTTCACATCCTCCATATTGAATAGGGATATTCTGATAGCTCATTGAATTGGATTGGTTTGGTTGTATTAGATCTTCATAAATTCTTTCGAAAGATAGTGTGGATGTTCTTGGTGAATCAAATTGAAAAGAGCCCGGATTAATGCTACTGAAACCGGTAGATGACGATGATTGCACATTGAAAGAAGATAATGGAGAGGAACACCATATGTGGTGATTTTGATTTGAAAGTCCATATGATTGACCTTCAAAAAAGTTGTTGTTAGATGTGGTTTGGTTTGTGGATGGTGATGAAAAGTTCCAATTTGATGACATTTTTTGTGATTTAGAGTATTGAGGATTGAATTCAATTGTTTTATTGTACAAACTCGAATTCTTTGTCAAACTTGAACGATGTCCACACTTGATTAGTTTCCACATTACATGTGAGAGAAATGTATACAATTTTCATCTTGTGTTTCGTAATCTTCTTTCCGAATTTACGTGTAAGACGTGAGTGAGTAATTTCCAACTCAGACCAATGCTTGCATTTGTCTAAAGGAGGAACACTGTCAGTAAATCTGAATTGAATGCACTTCTGTCTCTTCTTTAGGCCATTCCACAAAATGTCTTGATACCATTGGTAATATTTAGCCTTTGTTCCCCTCAGAGCAAGATAAAACACGTTTGGGTTGCAACATCCAACCGTTTCATGGCTGATGGAGTTTGAACATCTCATCTGTAGATGTTGATAAATAATATTTCTTGCACATTTGGCGAACTGTTCCCATATAATTCCATAAATTTGTTTCTTCTCATCTGGTACTTCTTTAAAGGAATTATATTTTGGGACAAATTCAAACAGTCCTTTCTCTAAAGTGAATTGATATTCCTTGTGAGTGTCTTCAGCAGCTTCATCTGTGGTTCTTGATTTTCGTTTTTTGCTCTGTTGGGAAATATTGTCATCATCACATTTGTTGTTTGGTGTTATCGTACATTGTGTCTCATCAACAATACCAGAGAAGCTGCTTGTGCTAGGCAACAGACAGCAAGGTGGAAATGACATAGTTTCGTCTGTGAAGATCCATTCCTGAACAAGTTAAGCAAACACATTGCAACAAATTTGAAACATACTGTAGAGGTAGTAGTTATTACTGGTGATGATGGCTGAGAAGTGTTCATCTCGATGCTTGATGATGAAGGAATCTTGAAATGTGTTACTACTGAATAATGGACAAACATAATACTTACATTGTTCGTACTCTGGTTCGTTGTGGATTGGCTATCCAATGCTGGTGATTCATAGGCCTTGATATAATTGAGATCAATACAAGGTGAACGATATTCACTAGTACTTACGTGATTAGTATTTGTTTCGCAACTCGAATCACAATCAGAAACACCAAGCTGAGGTAAAGATTAGTGTCGGTGTTGAAATTGTTGTTTGATGTTGTTGTTGTTGTGGTAATATGGATAATCAATTACTTACACAGTATAGAGGCACAGTACCCTCTTCAATGACCACTAATTCAGCTTCCATGTTGTTGTGTGTTGTTGGTGTGTTTTTTTGTGTGCCAAGCAGAAAACAACACCACAGACCAATCACTCCATTTTTTTTGACTCCGGGACTTACTAAAACGAGCCGAATTTTTTCTTCGTCAGTTTTTGCACTTTACGCTCAGGCGTAGTTTGTGGTGATATTGCAATTTTTATATATAATATACTGAGTTTGATGAGATGATGTCTTCACTTTCAAAAAACCCAAGAAATCCTCATTTCCAAAACGCTCTGGAAATTACTATCCAGATGCAATCAAATTATTAGCTGTGTGCTTGGATGGGCGATTTCTTCCACCCCTCTTTCAACAATTCTTTACTTCAATAAAATAGATAATTGAAATGATCATTGAAATCAATTCTTCTCAATTTTACTCCGTCATTTGTCTCATTGTTTCATTATGGCTAGTTTGGAAATCCAGTTTACCGCTTTACTGAAAACCAGTAAAAAAAGTTTTGCAAACCTGAAATTACAATGAGATTCCTTTTCACTGTGGAATCACTGGCTTTGCAAAGGCTTTAAAAAATTGTAATTGGACCTACAACGGACGAGCGGGAGTGAATAGCTTTGAAAACTCAAGAGTTTCTCTTGAACCACCAATACAAAAAAATGGTTCCACAACATCCATCAAATTCTGTGTTAGACTCACTCAACTCATCGACCAGCAAATCTCCAGTTTTTTTTGCGAGTGAAGACTCCATCTCATCAAACTCAGTATTGCAATTTTTATATATAATAATACTGAGTTTGATGAGATGATGTCTTCACTCTCAAAAAAACCATCATGGTAAGCCTTTCCGGTATCCATAAGGCTTAGTGGAGCTCAAAGACTATGCTAAAAAGTCTGACGACCGCCAACAGGAGTGAATGTAATGCAGTTTCTACTACTTTCGTTGGTGTGTGTGAGGTATGGATAACAATCCCGATCTTAAAGAGGGGCTTTTAGAATTCCTGCTCTTTTAGATTTAGGATCTTCTTTGGCTAAATACCTATTCGTCTGCCTACTCTATGGAACAAACTCATTCCCAATAGATTTTAGAAAACTAACTGTTTTTTGCCTCAAATAGAGAACGACCTGATTTACCACAAGCTCTGTGGAAAAATCCTAACAACGACAACAAATAATGATTTTGAACCTGAGACATTGCATGACATGGAAACATGGATCTTGGTTATTCTCAATATTGTTTGCCTCATTGATTTTTTAATCCAAGTAGAACAACAAGTACATTCTTACTGCAATTCACATGTTTTTCGTTGTTGCGTGAGGGCAACATGCAACTGTGCACAGCTCCTCAAACCATACAAGACACTGTTACAAGCCACCTCCAATACTGTTCTATCTTGTGCATATTCATAAACACCAGTGACATGAGGAAAGTTCAATAATGTACGAGAAATTTGATTCTCAAACTCGTTGGCAGTATAAATATCTGAGAACACGAGAACAATGGGAGAAAAAGGATTTGTAACATCACCGACGTAAGTAAGGTAATAACTCAACGGTTTCAATGTGTCAAGATTGATCTCTGACTTGATTTCTTTCAATTTCATAGAATCAAATAAAAATATCACTGCATCACTGAAATAAAGAGCATCGCGATTCTTCCACAATTCATTCAAATTCTCTTCAATTTTCTCACAATAATTTCCTTCTTTGACTGCTAAGGGACTGATCTTGAAACTGTCATTCCAAACCAAAATAGGCGCAGTTATACGAAATGTTCCAAGTACATGTGCGAGTATTTTTAATCTATCAAAAAATCATGCTATTTATCCTTCCTCTTGAATCTAAATTCAACACATCTCGAATCTCTGAAATATTTCAACAACAATGAAATAGTACGAAAAAACAACAAAAAAATCATTTCGTTCACATTGTGAAGGAGTGTGTTCCCGCTACAGAGAGAGACTGCGTGTGCGTTCGTTTCATTCAACAACAACCCCGTACCAGTCCACTCTTCATCATCATCCTATAATTCTATTTAAATTATCATCACAGATTCTAATCATCATCATCAACGTTTCATTTATTGAACTTGGCATCCCTAAGAAGATTTTACTCATTCCTTATCATCCTATACCATGTTATTCTTTCAAAATGAATATTGTCATAGGCATCATCATCATTCCTCTATTATTATTTCTTCTGTAAGGCTTTACGGACAACGTACAACTACTTCTCTGTTACTGCTTCATCTTCTTCTCCTCTTATATACATCCTTACTACTCGTAGTATTATCCTGCCCCTTTCCTTCAGTACAAGCCTCATCATCCTCTTCACCTCTTCATCGATTTATTGGATGTTCCTATGAAAAGATCATGAACCTCCCAACTCATCCAAGCAATAACACCCTCATTACACAACGTATCAATATTACGATCATTTGAAGACTTTACAGATCTTCCTTTCGGATTTGGCTGTGATGAAATACAATTCCCGACTGAAATTTCTCCTACCCGTTTTCAACCTCGAATATGGAACAAGGTTTGCATGATATTTACTCGCCCGTACAGGCCTCTTCGAATACCATGGATTTATGTTCCATGTTTCCAGAGAATACAAGTTGTGTTGAAACATTTTGTGGAGTTAATTCGACCAAGTGGAATGCTCAAGATTCGTATCAATTGGCGAATTTTTGTCAATATTGCAAAAAGGCGAAGGATTTTGTTCAATTTCAACAAAATTGTGGCCGGATTTGGAAAATTATGATAACTCTTCATGGAACGGCGTGTCCTGCGTTTAAGAAGTTTCCTTCTGCGTTTTGTGTCGAAACGTTCAAATTGGATTACCCATCTATTTCATGGATCGATATTTTATAAGATTAAGAAACTCCATTCATGTGCTATTGTTACAAGTTTGATCAATACTCTACAACATGTGAAGAGAGTTTGTTATTTACATTGAAATTTGATAGTGCCAAGTTGGGAATTCTGTTAACTCTCTCTGTTCCTTCTATTTATTGCCATCATGTCCTTAATTGTTTTTCCCGAATGTTTAAGTTTTAGATATCAAAAACCAACATCTATTTCCATCAAGTCCATTATACTCATGACAGCCAGTGCTGTATGTATTGTAGTAGCAAGTGTCTCTCCTATCTACCATCATTTAATGATTCAAATAATTTAATGTACTTGTTGGAAAATTTGACATTGAGCTTGAACGTATTTTTTCACATATTATACCATCATACCGGTCATGCTCATGTTTGATCGAGTTTACATGTATTTAAAAACTGGAGAGAAAGAAGAATTGGACACTTTTCAAAGGCTTGTCCTATGTTTCTGTTATTGTGAACACACTTTGCATGATTTATATTGTTGCATCTTTTATTTATCAAATTTCAGCACATACCATGGAATTGAATCCACCTATGAGGATTGTATTGGAGTGGGTTATGTGGCATATGCCCTTCCATGGTTTTTGTAATCTTGCTCTATTTTTACTAGTGTCCTACAAACTTGGATGTGTATTGAAAGAGAAGACCAATATTTCATTTTTTCAAAACCAAGGTATGTGAAATGGCTTCTTCTTTCCAAACTTGTTCAATTATTTATGTGCATGTATGATCACAATATTGACGTGTATGTTCACATTCAATGTACTTCCACACATTTAAATGACAATAGTACTTTTATCAATTCATGCTGCTCAGTGCACTGACATTGTTGGCCCTCATATCTTGTTTAATGAGTTTTTTATATACTCAATTCGGTGTCACATCCATACATTTCATTGTATCGTATTATACTGAATTTGCAGCACATTGTTTCAATATTTCATCCTTGCTGGCCGTGGTGATGATTTTATTTGATAAGGACAAATTTTGGGAATGTTATCCTTGCCTCAAGAGAATTTCTTTCAGGACAAAGAGAAGAGACGAGGAAGAAGCGTCCCTCTAGCTTGATTGCCAATACAAGTGGAAATAGCAAAGTGCAACCTTCTGAGGGCTCTGCGGGGTATGAGTGATTTGACGACTCCCTATAATTCTTCGGCAACGTATTACAAGTCCTTACATTCTGAAGAATCTACTAATGTGAGCATGTAAAAAGCCACTCGATTGATTTGGCATGATAGAAATGATCGAATTTCTGGACGGACCCATGATTGAACAGTCATGATTTCTTTGTTGTTGGCTGAACTCGCGTCGTGATGTCAATGAAAGTGGTCTCAATTTTTTATGTGAAAACCACAATAAACAGCCCCAGTATTTGGTAATTCCTTCGCAGATTCGAAATTTTGTTGTTACTTTTCATTACCTGTTCTTCCTAACCAGTGACAAGAATACATTACTTTCTTGAATCCGTCCACGGCGGAAGAAAGATAATAAGGGAGAGACTTCAAAACGGCAATTACACGCCTCTGAAATTGCAACCTGGTCTAGCCCGTTCATCTTGACGACTCTTTTGTTGTTTAGACAGGGACTGCATTGACAATGAACGGCAGTTGCTTGAGAGTCCTAATGGGTTTTTATGATACATGTTACTTATTCTTGGTTTTGAGCTGCTTGAAAAATTGGAGATCAATGATTTTGATCTTCCTTTCCTTAGTGGGATAGGTGGTGACGGTTTTGATTCCTCATCTTGCAAAAGTTTAATGTCGGAATCCATTTCCAAAAAGTGTTCAGCTGCAGTCACCGATGAGACACTTCCCAACGTCTCTTTCATTTGCTTAATGTTATGTTCAATCTTTTGCTTCATTTCTGAAAAATCCTGAACGTCCTTACATTCGCTTTCCAAGTAATTGAGACGATGCTTCCATTCACAGAGCATGTTGACCGTTTTTTCTCCCAATGTTGTCACATACCACTTGACATCCTTGTCACTCGCCTTGGAGAGAATATTGGGATCGAGCTCGTCGGGGAAGTCTCGTTTATCGCTTATAAATTCGAGAATTTCCTGCTCATTTAAAATACATCGGGTGTTGTAAGCTCGAACATGTGTCGAAAACTCTTTCATGTGCTCTTGAAATTGTGGATCTTTTTTAAGTTCTTTCCTTTGATCCTGTATTTCTGCAAAGGATGAAACAAGCCTATCGAAGGAGGGCTTTCTTTGAGGCAGGAGAGGAAGTGGAGGTCACAAGGGAAGATCCACTGTTCGTAACTGCTTCCCCATTTCGAGGTGATGAAATTCCACTCATACCAGTAGATATTCTTGCCGACATGAGACGTGGGGAGCTTTGCATCTGTGAAAACTGTTCCATTTCTTTCATGGCCTGCTCGTTCTCTCCGAAAATGTTGTTGAAGTCCTTCTCTCCCTTAGAACGCAGAGAGTGGTGATGAACGAGAATGGGCAGGCGTTCTGAATGTTCTTTTGGAGAGGACCCATCATTGGTTGAATCCATGAGCTCAGAATCACTCTTTGAAATATGTAAATGATGGGGATGCAAGTGCGTATTATAATTTCGAGGCGATAAATTATTGGCATTGCTGCTGCCATTTCCCTCGTTGTGTGAAACCACAATCGGCGATGGAGACCCAGTAGAATTTGTTGATCCAGGAGTTCCATTCATTGCAAACGAGTTTCTCCTATTCAATAACCTCGAAAGTTTTCTTGTTATCAGGAGTGGTATTGGAAGTGGGATTTTCTAAATCAATTCTCATTCTCGTTCGACCATGCAACTCAAGCGACGGATTGGGCGAAATAGGCGAGCCTGTTGTCGATAATTGTTCCATGACCAAACCAAAGGAGCCTGAAGAGCGTTTTCGATTCACGATTGAGGGCGTTACTACAGCCGATGCTATGAGCTGTTCGCGTGGACTCGAAACTGAGTGAACAGAACTACTCTCCACGCTTGATTGGGAAGATGGAGAAGAGGGAGAGACTCCTCCGTCATTCTCTGCAGCGCCATTCGATGAAGCATTGGAGAATGAGGTTGCCATCGTCGATGTATTCATATAGAGAGGAGGAAGAGAAGAGCTTCGAGGTGGAGGAACAAGGGGTGGAAGTGAGGTGGTTATTGAGGGCGAAGTCGTAGTCGTTACAGCATTGGATGAGGGTGAAGACGGTGTATGGAACATGACCACCGATGGGCTTGGTTTTGTTGCTCCTCCTCGTGGAGAATTGTTCATGTTCTTGAAAGAAATCATTCCATGAGGAGAGGTGGGTGAAGTTGAGGATGAAGGAGATTGAGGAGAAGAGGATGTTGTTGTTGTTGTCTTAAGAGCGGATGGAGAGCTAATGATCAGGCTTGATCCTGCAATACTGTGATGCTTATTCTTTCGGATGATCATGTTGGATTCACTGCTTTTTCGTTCCATTGAGGAAGGATGGTTCAACATGGAGAGCCTTCGAGCCAGAGGTCGAGAAGGAGGAATGGGTGAACCGTTATTATTCAAACCACCAGTACTACTACTACTCTCCATAGTGCTCAGGTCAGAGGATGAAGGCTCCATGATCATCATTGATGCGGAATAATGAGAGTGTTACTGGAGAGCGTTCTTACGTGGGAGCGCCGCGGTTTTTTTTAACTTGGGATTGCTGTACCTTCGTTGGGTGTGCGTAAGGCGTTACCTCTATTTCACACACCAATCAACAACAAGATTTGATGGATTCATGAGAGACCTATTAATGATCAATCATTTATAACCAAAGATGATGTGTACATGTGTCAAGCCCAAAGATCAATGCCACCTTGCTTATTGAAGCTTACCATTCTCCCAATGAGTATTAATTAATCCCTTAACGATGGCCCATCCTCTATGACCTATGAGTGGATTCTCCATTTCACTGAATTCGTCAGCCAAACGGTGA